AAAAAAAAAAAAAAAAAAAAAAAAAAAAAAAAAAAAAAAAAAAAGACTTTTTTAGGTCAAAGAAATTATAAATGAAAATTATGAACCTACATTTTTCAATGGGCAATTATATGTGTAAGCGGCTCACTTCACCCCATCATCACATATTTCACTCCCTTTTCCCCCACTTTCTCCATTTTACCCTTCTACCCTCTCCCAAATTCCTCAAATACCCCTCCATTTTTTTAATTTTTAAAATATTTAATAATCTTAAAAACTTTTTATTGCCGTTTCATTCTAAATTTAAAATATATATATTTTAAGAATGATTATTCGAAACTTCAAGAAATTAAATATAAAAAAATAATAAAAAATGAGTTAATTTAATTGCCACATAAAATGTGATGATTTGGAGATGGATAGCAAATGTGATCCTCACACACTGTCGCCGTTGAATGCACATCAGATAGCGACCCTTCATTTCTTTTACATTAATGACATAATTACGTGATTGGTCCTTTTTACCCCTCCTTTTCTTTAAAGTTCTCGTCGGATCTTTCTTTTTATTTAGGGGGTTATCTTGTATTTTCACATTTTTTATGCTTAATTATTTATTACTTCTATTTAATCTTTATTTTCCCAAATTACTTTAACTCCACAAATAAATATTAAAAGGTCCAAAGTTTTTTAAAACTAAATAATAATGATGTTGTGGAATAATTTAAATTCTATTACATACCGATGTATTTAAATAAGAAGATTAGTCAAAGCCGTATTAACATCTAATCTAAACCTAACCCATGAAAACGAAATCCAAATCCAAAGAGTTTCAACTTAGTTCAATTAATTTTCCACTTTGAAAACTTAAATAAAGTTGATTTGACTCTAATTAAATTGGAATTATTGAATTTTTCTCGTATAATTGAATTCAATGTTATTATCGTGACAAAACTATAAATCTATGTCTTGGATAATAAAAATGACATAGGTTATATATAATATTCTTATATTATTAAAGAAATATATTATTGTGATGTTATATTTAGCTTCTTCATAAATGAATGGAGTAAACGAAACGTTCAAGTTTGATATGATTTTATGGACGTCGTTATCAAGATCTTCGTCTAATAAAATTTTCAAGGATTCTTTTAATTAAAAGTGCCATTTTTTTATTAAAAAAACAAAAATTATATATAAAAAAATAAAAATAAATAAATAAGATTTTATATGCTTTGAATTAAGTGGAGGGCATTTGTCAAAATAATAATGATAATAAAGGTAGGGTCTTTATTAACCTAAGCCTCCTATTAAATTGCTTCTTTTTTCCTCCGTCTTTTTTGAACAATTAACTTGCTTTTCGGTCCTTTTTTTTTTTTTTTTTTAATTTATTAATTAATATGAATATTTTTAAAATTATAATATTAATATATAACATTTTTCAAACTATTTATTTTAATATTATTGTGAGGAAGTTAGACATTAGTTTGTGACATAAATGAAAGGACATGCATGATTCACATAGTGTAACAATCCCTAAATCTTATAATATATCTAATATTCGATACATATTAGTAAGTATTTGATCTTATATTAATGTTAATAATTGTGATTATTAGATATCAGACAGCCGTTTGCGTGGTAGACATGGTTGGGATGGGAAAATGTGCGCATGGCAGTCACGTGCGAGAAGGGAAAGAATCTGAAATCTGAAACCAAACTGGAGCAACTAATTATAAAAAGAAAAATGATAAACATCACGTGACAGCCTCCTCTTCAACTCCATCACCTAATCCAGACAGCTAATGCTCCCAAATCTCTATGATTAAAGATAATCATACACTAATTAAACATTAATTAATTTGTAACAGCTCATAACTGTATGGCTTCAACTCAAAACTGCATTTTCTTAATTAATCCGCTTCCATTTGCTTTACTTTTTCTCTCCAAAAATGAGGTTAACTAAAAGATAACTAAAATAAATATATAAATAAAAATAAAAAAGGATATTGGAGGAAGATAGTGGGCCCAATGGGTTTAGTTGGGCCTGTAATGTAATAACTCAACTCATTGGGCTTATGGGCTTACTGCATATTATTCCTAATTTAATAAAAATAGTAGAGGCCCATAATGGATCGAGGCCCATAATGGGAGGCCCAATTCGTGGGCAAAATAATTGAATACTTAAAAGTTCTTTCTATATTATTATATATTTTAAAATTTGTTTTCCCTCTCTATGCAGATTCCAAACACACAGATATTCATGCAATTAATCCTTAATTAATGCACGTTAATTGAACCTAAACCTCACCTCCAGGGAACCCTCATTGTTCGTGGGGAAACTCATCGGACTTTCTTGTTGGAGAAATATCAATCTCGATCTCGATCAAATTGTCCTCCTCCAGCAGAAATTCCGATGCCTTCTTGTTCGTCTTATCCAACGCAATCTCGATGAGTTCATCTCTGTCTTCATCCTCATCCCACATCAAACACAAGTTATCGTCAAGCGAGTCCCAATCTCCAGTCCTTGGGAAATTGTCCTCCGACGAGCTGTCGGAGTCCGTTTCCGGATAGTACAGCGATAGCGATGGATACCTCTCCAGTCCGATGCGTACCTGTCGAGGTTCTGGATCGCTCTCGTTCGATGCTTCTTTATCGTGATCTTCCCCTTCGTACTCCTCGTAAATAACCTCCAACGGCGCCCTCACGTTCCACTGTACGAAAGATTCCTCGAAGCACGCGCACGAAACAGAATCGGCACATTTTGATCCTCCACTTACGGCCTCCGATACGGCGGTGGAACTCTCCGATTGTACTGCGGCGACGCTCTCGGCGGATTCTTCGCATTCAATTTGATTGTTGTTGTCGCTGGTTTGGCGAAGAAACGATCTCTGAGTTGCACCGAGGCGAAGGAGAGAGAGCAAGAGGAATCCGGTGAGGAGGAAAATCGGAGAGAAAAGGATTCTCCATAGAAGGCGAGGGAAGTAGAGGAGAGTGAGAGCGAAGAAAGAGAGGAGAGTAGAAAACAGAGGATCGGAGGTTATGGAAATGGAAACGGTAGGCGTGTTAGAAGAAGAAGGAGAAGAAGAAGAAGACATAGCTGCGATCAAATTAAAGGATGTCGACGGATTCATACAGAAAAAAATGTAGAATCAATCGGCGCATTCCATGGATGAAGTTTTGATAAATTGCAGAGAAGAAGGTGAAGTGATGATTGCTTAAGAACGGAAGGGGAAGGGCAGAGGAAGAGTCGATTCGTCGTCTCGCACGGAATGTGAACAATTTAATGATAGTGGTTTGCGATCTGTCGTACACTTCAGTTATAGACTTATAGAGCCCAATGACGGATGTACCCCTCTCATTCCCTTATTTATTTTGCATGTGGAGGGAGATTTTGAGTGAAATCAATTTATTTTTATTTTTAAACATTTAAAATAAATTTAATTTTTAAAAAGGAAAAAAACGAGTTTATGAGGTCAAAGATGTAAAACTTCTACCCTGATACATAATGAGCTAAAGCGAACAATATCTGACAGCGGTGAGCTTGAGCTGTTATAAATAGTATCAGAGTCCGGGATTGAAAGGTGTACAAGCGAAGATGGTGGCCTCCCAGAATAGGTGTATTGTAAAGTCCCACATTTTTGGAGAGGGGAATCAAATATTGTACCATTCACATTGAGTTGATTGCTATTATTATTGGAAATTAAGAAAGGTATAAAAGTCAATAATAAGGCAATGGATGACAATATGAATTAAATAAAAGTGTTGATTTTGTACTTGAGTAAGCTTAATGATGTATAAGAATAAAGGGTTTGAATGAATAAAGTGGGAATAATTAATCCCAAAATATGAGTGTGAAAAGGGATTTGGATGGTAGCCATGTAAGCTGTAATTGTGGTGAAGAATCGAGGAGAAACCGGAGAAACACACATGATTAACAAAGCTGCCTTTATTTCTTCCATACATTACATCCTCTTTCCATTCAATTATTTCTTCCTTTTCTTCCTTTCTCTTTCTCTTTCTCTTTCTCTTTAATGTCTGATGCAAAAAAAGTACTCTACTTTTCTTTGCTTTCATCTACAGCTACCACTCCCCCTTTTCTCTGTGACTTTCAACCTCTCTACCTTCCTTTCTCAACCACTTTCATGCCTATTTCTCATCTTCAATCGGAACCCCATCGAGCTTTAGAATGATAATTGATATCGACATAAGATTCAGTTTCTTTCGTTCCCTTTTCCATGTCTGATCATGGGTTGGGTGGAAGCTTTATTATGGTGCAAGAAAAAGCTATGGGTCAAAGAGAGGAGGGTCATCAATCAGAGAAAACTTGGCAGAAAATTCCCTTTTTAAAAAAGGAAAAAGAATGGTCTTTTGGCCTTTCGTTTTCCCATGTCCATGTTTGGTTGGTCCTCTTTTTTTTTCGGGTAAGGAAAACGAAGGTTCACAAAAGTACCAAAGCTTTACTTTTAAGAAAACGATAGAATAAATGATTATGAGGTTCAATAACAAGGGCCTATAATTTGAATGCTAATTATGGAGA